CCTGCCTTTATACCTGAAGATACATCGTTGGCCGGGCAGTGGTGGCCAACGCCTTTAATCCCAGCACGGGGGAGGCAGAAACACACAGGCAATATTTATATGTGTTGATGCAAAGGCTTTTTCATTAAAAACATTTTCCCTGTTGCTAGACTTGCTCATATGAATATCTCCTTTTGCTGCTATGAGAAAATGGAGTTTTAATTAATTAAGCAATCCATGGAAAGTGCTTAGTACAGTGCTGTGTAGTGACTGTTCATGAATGCTAGGTATTACTTGTAAGTCCTCACTACCGGGCCAATGTAACTAATCATGACTACTTTGCGTCCTTTAAAAATGTGAGTCCCACATTTTGAAGAGTAACCAGTTTAAATGGTCATCATACAAGACATTTTATATAGACGTGCATGTATAGTAGTGCTGACTCTATACATTCCAGAAACCTTCTGAAGTGCTTGCCTTTCTTAAACTAGAATATTTGTGACAGGAATATATAATGCTCACCAGTACCAGGCCTATTGCTACCAACTACTAACAGAAATCAACACGGGGAAGTTTCAAGTCTACAACACAGGAAGCAGATACGTGGCGCTAATATTCGATATGATTATTAAATACAGTAGAACAATGACAGTAGTTACCCAGAGAGAAGGACAGCAAAGTTCTTCCTATGAAGAATAATATTCATAAAAAAAAACAGAATTTGATGAAAAATCACTGTGAAGCACTAATTCTTAAGCAGCAGTTAAACTGTTTGGCTTCCGTGGCCATCTTCTCAGCTTCTTTGCTCTGTGCTGCTCCTGCAGAAAGCTGATTTCTGTTGTTGCAATAGGTTCCCCTTTCCTGACCTCTGGTTACACTGAGTCAAGGTGAGGTACCAGAAGGATACTGGGAGGTGGAGAGTCAGCGTGTATAGACTATGTCACAGGCTGGCAGGGGCTGCTTTCCTACACTCAAGCCAGGGCTCACATCCTTGCTATGTAATTCCAGTGACTCCTTGGCCCCTTGCCTTTCAGACTAGTGGGAGGAATGGCACCCTGAAAGAGCTGGCTTCAATGCTTCATTAGGGCATGCCGTGTGTCTAACCATTTTCTTGCAAATATCCACCCTTTAATGGTCCCCACAGAGTGTTACATTGTTTACAGTTAGGACCATTAGAACAGCAAGAGTTATGGTAGCGTAATGGCCTAAGACTGTCCAATCAGTCAAAATAGAATTTGATTTTGTTGTCAAGGCTTGAAAAGAGTTAAAAAGAGCTAGACCTAGGTGGGATACTGGAAAGCCTTAGCAAGGTGTTGTCGCTGCTCGTAGCATGGAATAAAATGTGGCATAGGGTTAAGCACTGGGAAACTGTGGCATCTGTATGAGAACACAGGTACAGTAACAGAAGAGAGAGTAAAGCTTATCTTGTGACTAGGAGTTTTAATGGTTCTAAGGGACACACAGAATGAAAGGACAAGAGGAAAGCCTTGTCAAACAAAGGTGGGATCTGAGAGAGTTTATCTGCTTTAAAAGGCCATTGTTTACCTAAGCCTAGAGCAAATAATGCTGAAGACTAACCCAAAGGGCTGATTTGAAGGGCTCTGGAATGGTACTGCTGTATAAAATGAGCAATACCCAAACTAGTTCCTGGCAACGGAGCAATGACAGGGAAGGGACAATGCATCCATGGGTGAATGACAGATGTTAGTGACACTATCAGAAAATGGAAAAAGTTGGAGTAGGGAATGATGTTATACAACTAGTAACTAGTTTATTAGGACAAACCACTGCGAAGGTGGGCCTGAGGATGAATGTAGACTGAATCCCACCATAACACCAAAATCCAGTGTCATTCACCCTAAAGTCTTTACCACAGCTACTACTCTGAAGTACTAACATGATTCCTTTGTGAAATAGCTCTTATCACCAGAGTTCATTGGAAGCAGTGTGCCTTCTCCCTGTAGGGACAGCATACTTTCACACTCTGACCTTTCCTCACAATAATAGAGTCTGGAGAAATCTTGATCGTTAGCTACATGAGACAAGCTGGACTTGGTGACCAGTAAGCAGCAAGCATCCAAGACCTGTCCTAAGATAAATGCTAGAGGGCAGTGGGTAGACTCCCCTAGAGTCCATGAACATTCTGGTGAAATATTATGAGCCCAGTGGTCTGGGTTTGCTGAAACAGATCTTGTGATAAATTTCTGTAACCTGCAATTTCACAAAACTTGGTCTCTGGATTTTAGAAGATGCAGAGGCCACACTGGAGTGTGTTGCTTTGACATATGCCCTAAATAATCCAGGGTGCCACTTTTGAGAGGAGCATGGGGCAAAAGGGGGCCTGCAATATACCTCCCATGATGAAAGCTACCCTCCAGCCTTGGCTTTTTTAAGATTCAGCACACACAATATTTCTAGAAAAATTGATGGCAAGGAGAGGTGCTATATGACATCTTTGTCAGATAGAGCTCAGAGTGCTAAGTTCTAATGGTTTTGTATAAAGATCATTGACCAAGAGCTATTCTCTATTTAAAAGGCTGCTCTTAATTTGCTAGTAGATGCTAATTATGCTAGCCCAAATCACACACTATGAACTAGGTATTATCTGAAAATCATATAACATAAGAGGGATATAACAGCATTTCACCATTAAATGAACTTGGACCAAGCAGTTGGAGATCCCAAACATGCTGCATGAGCAAGTGGTTCGGGTGTCCATGGCAACTGCTACTCCACAATCTGTCTCCTTCAACCTACATCAATCACCTTGTGGCGTGGTATTAATGAACAGCTAATAGAGAAGGAAATGCTGTGGGGCTAGTTTGCAAATGAATTGCATAACCCTTGGTGCTCGCTATGACAACGGTGTTTAGAGAAGCTAGCCTTGACAGAGTGGAAAAGAGATTCCTCAGCAGCCGGGATTTTAACAAGTCATCTTGATTGTAAACTGTGCACGGCAGAAGAGACAGTCTGAGGAAATGACACATGGCATGGCCATATGCCCAACAAAATAGAAGATTGGTGTTAGGAGTCTATGGAGAGTTATATAGATGTACCCTTCAGAATTGACACGAAATATGATGATATGGTATCCTACATTAATTTCTTCTTAAAAGAATCCACTGTGGAGAAGGCTCTTAGTAATTCGGGCAAAGTAAGACATCCATAGACATCAAAGTGTTTGCCTTACCACCCTAGTGTCTGATCAATGGACCCATGTTCAAATGATAACAGAAGCAGAGACAGACACTGTGAACTCAGTTCCATGTGCTCCCTACCCTGTAACTGATTTAGCTACTACCATTGCTGGACTCAGAACTTTTCAGTTCCGAGTCCCTGTTATTCCCCAAGCGATCAACCAGCAAGTGGAGTCAGGTAGGTTATACTGGACTCCTTACAATACAGAAAATGGATACATCTGTCCTCATAGGGACTGAAAGATGTCTAAGGAGGATTTCCCATGGCTCCCTAGGCTGCTTCCTGAGTGGATTTAACAGAACATCTTACCAACTACCGTGATATCCCTTATCAAACTACCTTTAACAAGAAAATTATTTAACAGAAAGAAATACGACCAACTCAAACCTAGAGAATTCATCCACATTCCTCACGTTCCACCAGCCATTATCTGCTGGCTAAGTGGAGTGGTAAATGGCCTACCACTGGAAGGCTTCCTGTGTGGCTGCCACTGAGGCACAGCTTAATATATTCTATGGATATAGCAACATGGCCTAAAGATATCCTGTCCACAGGAAGAAGACATGAGTCTGAGAACAAAGAGGTTAAGATGCTTACAATTATTGTATGAAGGTAAGGCAAAAAGTTATATCCATAAACTCTTATGAGGTACACAGTCCTTAGTTCAGTAACACTTCAATGAGTTAGAATATATAGGAAGCTGGTGGAAATACGGGCATCTCTTTAAAATACCCCTCAACTTATGATACTTTTCATAATAAAATAATACCTCTGTAACTGTTAACTAGAGTAGCATAATTTAAAAAAAAATACATGACATGTAAATAAATGAAATATTTTTGAGTTAGGAAAGTCAAATATATTCTTAGAACATGTTGTTTTCATATGCATGTTAATTTAACTTTTATAACTGTCCCAAATTTAATAGTTAATGTTTAAAATTGCTTTCTATCATTCATATTATCTTAAAAAATGAAGTTCGGCCTTAATGATAGCAATACAATGTAAAGAAGGCTAATAATGCTTAAACATTGCCCCACATTCCAGTGCTGTGAATTACAATCTGTCAATGTACATGAGAATATCACTTTCTCAGATCTTCAAATTAAAATTAAAATTTAACAAGTCATTATAGACAAAGCATATACAACTGCTCTGAAAGTATTTTATTATAATATTCTACCTTGAATTTCTCAGCAATGGCAGTTCATGCTCAAATCAGATGAGATTCATTCTGATTTCTGACTATTCTTCCTCATTTATATATTGCTAAGCTAGTATTTTCTTAGCACATCAAACATTCTAGATCATTAAATCATTTATGAAGCAGATAAAAATGTTCAGATCTTTCCCAATAAGTACAGTTCAAAAGCTAGCAAAATAAGATGAGTTAAATGAAATATAAATTCCTCCAACAGTTAATTTTCTAATGAGTAAGTACTTTCAAGTTTAAAAAGAACAATATTTGATTGCTCACTGAGACCTAAGCCTGAGTACTACTGGACTGTTAAAAAAATTCTACAGCTTTCATGTTTTCTGGAAACTTCAGAAAGTAAGTGTGACATTTCCCTAGGCTCCAGTAACCCTGGATTAAACATAATTACTGCTTTGATAATTATAAAAATTAAAGAAAATTTATGTTCTAGCTGCAACAAAATCTTTAGTGGCAGTGTTCTTTTTTCACAGCTGTTGATCTTTGAAGACCCATGTGTATCCTACAAATGCCACTAATAACATACAAGGCTCTCTAGGCCACGGCTACATGCTACTTAAGGTAATGCTGAACACCTTCTTGACTTTATCTCTAACTTGGTGACACTTACCAGAGTGGGTCCTGAGGTGTCCTGTGAGAGCGTCCCTTCTTCTACAAGCATAGCTACAGAAAGGACATTTGAACGGCTTCTCTCCAGAGTGCAACTTTATGTGTCTCAGAAGGTTGCCCTTCTGGGTGAAAGAAGCTCCGCACTGGTTACAGTGGAAGGGCCGTTCCCCTGAAGACAGAGTGGGAAAGAGCAAGCAGGTTACTGTGAGGGAACGATGTGCCAGCCAGTTAACCACAGACTATTCCCTAGGCTCACAATGGACATCGTCCACACTTTCTCCTAGTCTCTCTGGTCACACTAACTTCTCAAACTTCAGGTCAAGCAGTCATTTCCTCATTTAATATAAACTTGACAAGGTTCCTGTCACTGGCTGAGAGGAACAATAATCATCTCTACCAGTGGCTGAATAGCTAGCCAGCTCTCACCACTCAACTGACCGTTGACTTCCACAGAGTACACTCATCCTCACATCCCATTAATGCTTAGGAAGTACTGATTTAAATTTAGGAATGAAGAACCAGAAGTCAAAAATGGCAAAGTATCTGATAATGCTGGCACTGAGATCTGAACCACAACAGGCATAAACAACAAATAAACTTTCAAAGCCTACAAAGGAAATCTCTGGATAGAGATGAAGAACTCCTGTTCTCTTGGCCATTAATGAAACCTTTGGCAAAAATCCCCAGTATACCTGAGAGAATCCAAAGAACACTTTATTTCCAGATATTTTCTGCACATTATTTTGTGAAAAACATTTGTTGAAGAGGAATCTTTTCTCATGGTTCTCTATCAGTGAAGCTGTTAAAAAATTATGTAAGCCTGCATTACCAGTTTTGTCTATTACCCTCAACTGGTAGTTACCAATGTTACCAAAATTAACAAAATCCATATAGGCAAGAAGTCAGTAACACTGCCACGAACAAATGGATAACATTATCAAACCATGACGAAAATACTCTTACTTTTCATTTGCTTGTCTCTAAGCATAGATAAATGATAAACTGACATATAAATATATAGCAAAAATATCTCATCCTAAAGCTCAAAGTTTAGAGAGAACCAAGCTTAAACGCTTCCTTACAGTTGAAAGGAACCTTTTTTGCATTTGTTACAGGACAGGTACAATTTCCACAGTTTTCCTGATTGGTACACTGAATTGTCATGCTCCTGGGTCTTTGGCTAGAATATTTATATTGGCAGTGAAGTGAACCTCAGAACATATTTGGCCCATTATATAATGTAAACCCAGGGTTTCTCTATTAAAGAAAGCTAGGGAGCAAAAATCAGATAAGCTTTCATCACTTTCTGGCAGCTGCCACTGTTATATTCTGTCACACAGTTTTGTTACAAAAACCTAAATAATTTAAAACCAGGTAAGATCAAGTACATACTGGATTCTACAGCATTCATTCCTTTAGAAAGTTAATGATGTACGTACCAAAAGGTTTGTGCATGGCATTTTTCTCTTCTTAAAAAAAAAAAAACATGGAGCTTTTAAAGCTAAGTTACAAAAGGTCCTAAGAAAGACATTAGGCTAAAAACTCAGCATATTAAAGTTAGCTTAGACTGAATTTTATTTAACTAGTTTGATTTGTTAAAATCTGAAATGTCTCAAAGAAGTCTTATGACTTAGTTTTAAAATCTAATTCTGGCTGAGAGAGGTGGTGCATGCCTTTAATCCCAGCACTTGGGAGGCAGAGACGGAATCTCCGAGAGTTCAAGGACCGTTAGGTCTACAGAGTGAGACCCTGTCTCCAAAATCTAATTCTGATCAAATATTCTGTTTTGTTTGTTGAGAAAGGTCTTGCAGTGTAAGTTGAACGCATAGTTTTCTTGCCTTAGAGTGTCCAAAGGCTTATTCTTTGGTGGGTGCTGTGATGCCGGGCTCTTAAACCTAAGTTTTTAAGATCTTTTTAAATTTCATACACATACACAATGTAGCTTTGATTCTTTGAAATTTTTTTCTCCAAGGAAATAACAGAGTGCAACTTTAAAATCATAATTATCTACTCTCCACCCTGATGTGGAATTTTAATAAAAGGAAAGACAGGGATACTTCAACAAAGTAGCTTTGTGAATAAAGAAGACAGCAAACATAAATTGTACTTTTATTTCAACTGTTCGATTTTACTCTTGGACTCTTTCTGTGTAAGTTTCTCCTAGGAGAGTGACAAACTGGGACAAAATAACTTTAAAAAGAATTCAAATCAGTATGTCTGTTGAAAATTTTGAAATCATGTTTGCATTAGCAGCAAGCTGATTTACACTGTCTTTAAATCATTTATAATCATTGAATGGGTGGTTTTAATCTCTACATTAAAGTAGTTAATTCAGCATTTAAAATATTAATGATATTAAAGGGGAACCCCTTTTAAAAAGAACTTTTAAAACTAATTTTAAGGTAACCTAATCAAGTTTTATGAGCGTAAAGATGGAGTAACTACGTGTTAACATTTACAGAATACTCCAGGTATCGTCAAAGTTTTTTTACTAAGAACACCTCAGAGAGGGGCAGACAATGAAAGGGGCTCCATGTCCATCTGGTACGGCTCTGTTGCTGGGTGTATAAGGAGGACTCCGTGTCCACAGGCATGAGATGTAAAGAACAAGGCTAGGTGTGCTTTAAACAGTAGCTCTTCTCTGATAACAGGAAAGGCTCTAGCAACAAGCTACTCCAATTTCAACCAGATCCACCTTTGAGAAATGCTGGTGTGAATCACAATGACATCTCCATCAGTTTGCTCTGTGGCTGTCAGCTCCAGGCTCTATTCATTTTAGTATGAAATCTGTTTAACTATGCTTAGTGCCTTGATTATCTAGAACTAGATAGCACCCTGACGACATAGTTGTTTTATTGCATTCAACACTGAAGTTACAATTAGAGTGATACTCTCAATACCACTACTATTAGAGAAGAGGATAAACCAGATTAACTGTTCTTTGTATACATAGCTAAATTCTAGGAATGCTTCAATAGAGTGTATATCTATCTATCTACCTATCTATATGTATGTATGTATGTATGTGTGTATGAATACATGCATAGTTAATTAATAAAAAATTAATTGACTCAATTTTTACAATTCTGTAGGAATCCTGATATTCAATGTTGTGGAATATTTCCCAGCCTATACATACAGGTAGAATTATTTTGAATTTAGGGTAAAAAAAATTACCTACTTTTTCTCTACATAAATACAAAACAATGACATATAGTCATGAGGGCTTTAAACAATGCATAATTATTTTAATTTGTTCTTCAAACCAAATGGAGAATCAGCTGGCTCTTTTTGAGTCAGTTTATATTTTATATAAAGTATTATGTTCTTCATATACAAATGGAAAAAAAGTTTTAAAATCCTCACAGATTCTTTGCTTACAGTACTAATATTGTAGAGCAATCCAATTCAAAACCAAAGTAGGTTATTGTATTTGTGACAAGTGGTCTTCCCATTGGTGGGTACAGAAGACTGGACTAACAATAAAGAAAATTAATTGAGATGTGGTCATAGTAGTCCTCGCGTCCATTTTAAAGCTGATTATAGATTTATGTTGTGTTTCATGGCTTTTGGATGCATGGTCTTAGGAAGCTCAGCTGGCCTTGAACTTGTTCTGTAACAGAGACTGGCCTCGAACTCTTGCTCTTTCCTGCCTCCGCTTCCCTGGATTACAGGTGTGTTCCATCATGCTAAGCTGGTATTGTTCTTTAAACACAAGCCCACCAATTTACTGGTTGCCTGAATTAGTTTATACATCATTTTTTATTGTGGAGAAATGAAATTTCAGTAATTGATATAATTTTATAAACACATCCAAAATGTGTTTAAGCATTCAAATGACATGCAAATGAACAGGAACCAGTTTGCTTCTGTGACTCAAAGACAAGACAATGTTCCTGTGTTGGGCTGGAAAACCAACAACCAACATTAGAGAGCCTTGGAACACAAGAGTGGCTAGAAAATGCTGTAATTTACAAAGACAAGAGAGCTACATCCTAAAGAGAAGCAAACCTAAGGGTTGCCTACGTTTATAATGTTATCACATATTCATGTTCACATGTGAATTGAGTCTCTACAATTATTTATTTGTTTGTTTGTTGTTTGTTTTTCTGTACCTATACTCCCAGCGAAGAGTGCCTGGAATATCTGATGAAAATATTACCTGATTATTTACTAAAGTGACAATGCCAACGAAGTGACAGCCAGCCATTAAAAGACACTGGAATTGGCACTTTAGTAGAGAACAAAAGAGGAAGAAGCAAGGTGCAGCAGATCTGATACCTCATGTAATTGGAAGAAATTGGGTGGTTACATACATTCTTATTCACTGTCAATTGTACATTAGATCTCTTAGGAGCTTCCTAAGGGCCTCACAAAGGATTTAAGACAATGAGCGGCTTTTGTTTAGCCACAAATACATTTTTTTTTAAGAGTGGGAAACTCTCTAATGAAGACAGTAGTTCCTACTATTACAGAGAAACACTTGGTTAGAGACTAGATTTTGACTATACATTGCTACATGAAGTTTAAAGAAACACAAAGAAGCCTGTCACCAACAGTATTACAGGAGAATTGAGACCATGACAATCAACTGGAATCAACTAAGTCATCAGAAATCCATAGTCAAGGCCTATTCGAAGATGCCATATCTAACGGAGTGTCACAGAATCCTAAGTTCCTCTATGAATATCTATTGAAATTACAAAAGTCTCCCAGATCTGAAGAAGGAATTCTAGTTTTTAAAATAGGTCAGTAAGGCAAAGGAGTTGGTGCTATTAAGTGAACTTCACATGGTTGCTTAGGTTTTTTTCTCCTTGCCCTTACCAGTGAGTCTCATATTCTAAGATGTGTGCAAATCTGTGTAGTGATTTATAAACAAGTCCTATACCAATGACATCATTTTCAGTGTTTAAATAATTCCATCCCACTTTCGTAGTAAATACATAGTGGAAAGTGGAGTAGGTGTTGAATTATTTTATTAAAAAATGAATTTCACAACAGATACAAAAAATACAAATTAAAACTAAGTCTTCAAGAGACAGTTCTAGTGTTCTTTGAATTTTCCTAACAAAAAAGATTTATTAAAAATCTTTCCAAACTAATATTTAGCATAAACTTTAGTCTTAAACTTATCAGTAAATAAAATTCAACTGCAAGATAATTCAATTCTTTTAATATTTCAAATGAAAATTACTCATTTAAATGGGTGTTATGTTCTTCAAGACACTCACTCTAACATAATAATAAACATAGCTTTGTAAACTCCTTTTCCAAGCCAGTATTATTTCATGAGCATGGAATAAAAGTAGATTAATTTTATAGTCCTGTCCTTTTTTTCTTATGGAATAGAAACCAAAGCTTGGTATATTTTAACTTTTCCCGAGACATTTAAAATATTAAAGGAAAAATTCATTAGTGATATAAACATTTTTTAACATGACATTCTTTTAAAATAATATTCATAACAAAGCAAAACTGCTAATTGTTATAATTATAAAAATGCATACATTGGAAAGTAGATGATATGATTATATTAATCTGAATGTGAAAATTCTACTGTAATATAAAAAGTATCAGCCTTAGTTTATAGTGACACTTTATAATAAGTTGTTGGTATAGTAACAGTCCACTTGTGTGTGTTGGAATTAAACTAGCCTAGGAATCAGAGTAACATGGTTCCAGCCTCACTAGTGACCTTTTCCAGGTAAGAGACACAAGTTAGACAACTTGATTTTCTTCAAGTGTGTGTCATGAGAGGTCTGAACTAAAAATGCTTTAATGTATAATTATAGCACATGTTTTAGAATAAAAATTTTAAGTTGATTATTTAGAAGTAAAATTTTAAAATAAATTTCTTCCATGTGATTTCTCATTCTTTCAAAAGAATATCACATTTTAAAACTGAGAACATTATTAATATTTTACTGGAGAATACTATCACATTTTAGTAGAAGACATAGTCCTTAATTTTTTTTCTTTCTTTTTTAGAAAGGGTCTCACTATGTAGCCTTGGCTAGCCTGGAACTCATTATGTAGACCAGGTTGGTCTTGAATTCAGAGATCCTCCTGCCTCTGACTCCCCAGTGCTGGGATTAAAGGCATGTACCACTATACCTGATTTGAAAATTTTTTGTTGTTGTTTGGTTTGGGGACAGTCTCACGTAGCACAGGGTGGCCTCAAACTTTATATAAGTTAGGATGACCTTGAACTTCTGATCCACCTGCTTCCAATTGCCAAACACTGGGATTACAGGTGCATGCCACCCTGCCCTGCTCAACTTAAAACTTCATCAAAAATTAACTGTTATCCCTTAAAACAATATACACACAACTTCATTGTGTTGTGTTTACCTACTCTCCCCTGCCTTCTTTCCCTCCTGTCCTTCTTTTTTTCCTATGTCCCTCTATCAAAAGCTTTGAGAAGATTTACAGAACACTGTTGCCTCCTCATCTGGCCTGTTTTATGAAGTACTTATATCTCTCAATGCGTGACAGCATGTACTAAATTATCCACAGGTACTTTCCTCACCTAATTCCAGAATTCCACATTTCTACCTACATCCCTGCCATCCTTTGACTTTTCTCACCCTAACCATCTCTTTCCAGAGTGAAAACTAAAAGTGACAGCCTTGAACTAGAGAAAGCACCCTCCTGCTACAGAGACCTTTGGTCGGCAAAGACTGACCAGAAACAATACTTCAAGGAGTTAACCAAAGTGAAAACGGTTCATTCCTATATAAATGTGTGAGTGCTATTTTGTAGTATAAGGTCCTAGGAAGCAAACTCTATTACCTGCCCATGGGTATGGTAAAATAGGTATACAAATACAAAAAGATTAAATTACTCAGTGAAATTCTCCTATACCTTTTGAACCCTTATCATATTATTGCTATATTAAGAACTGTGAAAACTGAATCCCAAACTTCTTTTCTGACATGCTATTCAGATTTGAAGGCTGGAAGTCAAGACCCAGGCTACTTTCTGCTTCCCAGCAATCCAATACTAGCAGAATTCTGAAAAGGTAACTTCACATTGCCACCCCTGAATAAAAAGGAAAGAGAGTAGATGTCAGGTAATATCAACATCAGATGCCACGGGCAGTCATCAGGTTATTCATTCAGCTGCTTACCAGTGTGACTCCTTTTATGTACCATAAGCACATTGGGCCCAATGCAAACCATGCCACAGACGTCACATTTCAGTTTACCATTCGGAAGCCGGATTCCTCCCTCGCCTTGAAGGTCCTGGACTTTCCTGTTGTCAGCCAGCTCGCCGCTCTCAATTAGGGGTTCTTCTAGGCTGCTCCCCTCATCATGGCCCCTGATCTCATCTTCGCGGCTCAGGGGTTTCCTCTCACACTCTTCATCACTCTGCATTTCTAGCTTTACAGAATTTGCTGTAATTTAAAAGAATTGAAGACATTTGTTACGTGCTGTTACCCTCATTTCTTTCCTGTCCACTGTCACTCTATGGAGCGGATGGGAAGGATGTACTAAGTCAATCCACACTGTGTGCAACGCTCTTCCAGGGAGTGAGCCTCTGGGGAGAGTGAAGACCGCTCAGAAGCACTCTAGGTGAACAACGGACCCTCGACTTCTGCTCCTCCTCATTTATTTCACTCAGCTACATTGCTTTTATGCAAGTCCTGAACTAATTCTTGTGTTTTTTAAAGTTGGTCACTGCAGTTAATAAGAATGAAAAGCACGCGTGGAAGATGCAAGGTTAAAAGTTTCTTAACCCACTAAGCCACACCTCATCTTAATTGAACAATCACGTTCATGCCACATTCTCTGCTTCCCATCAGAGTGCCTGTGTCAACCTGCTTCTGCGCAGAGTAAAAGAAACAAGTCAAGATCTTAATCCCACAAACGTCTGTCACCGAGGAAGACACACTGTCAAGGCAAATGTCCCCAAGTCAGACTAAACACAAACATTCAGCTCAGAGCTGTATCCATGTGAGGGAAAGTGCATAAACCTTGCCATCTTAAATTACCCTGCTTTTGTTTCCTACATGCAACAAAAATAGTCCTCTCTGGAACACACTACCAGGTTGTGAACCAAAGCACTTGAACGCTGATCTCTGCAAATCAAAGAGCAGCCGGTGACAGCACTGCATGCATGTACACACCTGCGACTGTTAAGAAACTTAATGCCTTCTGTTTGCTGTTTTTGGATCATCCCACAGAAAAGCTGGAATTCTGCTAGCACAGCCCTTGATCTAAATGTCCCAGTCCTTTTACAAAGTAGAGGCAGGCTTTAAATTAGTATCAGGTTTTCGGTCTTGCGACCTTGAAAGTTTCTTAAGAATCCATACTGAAGCTCCTCGACATAACAAATTAGATGATTCCTGCCTGTATGCCCTGTTTACTACAGTTGTTTTCCTGAAAAGGTGGGGTACTCTTGATTCATGACTATTGCTTAGCAGGACAGGGTGCCATCATGATGGCGGGTCTCTGTCCCTCTCTGCAGAGCTCTCGAATCAGAGGCAGTGTGCTACAGAGTGCCAGCAGTATAATCCTAAACTAATTACTTAACCTATGAATCTTAACATCATGCATTTGAAAAGCGGCAATGAACTCAAATTGCTGAATAAGGTTTGGGCAGAACCTTTGGTGAGAGTGGAGATACTTACATTCTTAAATTGTTAAGCATCTTAGTATTTCTCCTTGTCCTCCAAAAAAATGGAGATGATTATGCCTCCACTTTGCAGGGTTGATCTGAGCATTAAATTGTTAAACTCAGTACTTATGCATCTCTCTTTTTCTTCAGGCAATATGGTGCTACAGTTACTTTGTAAGATTTTGGTGAAGATTAATTAACTTACACAATGTAAACTGCTCTATAATCCACAAAGGGACAGCCATCCTTACTGAATCTAGCAATTTAGAAAATGATATGATCCTATTGGATTTTTAAGAAGAGACGGGACCATATTCTACTCAACACCATATCCCCGCCCCCCAGCAAGCCTGCTCACAGACCTCGTGATATATAGGAGCTGTTCAAGCAGTATTCACTCACTAGTTTTACTAAAATCATTATGTATTTCATTCCTCCAACCCTGTTTTGTGTTATAGATTCCATGCCATTGTAAAGAAAGACAAAACAATATGAAGAATTGAGTGAGAAAATTAAGTCATTTTTAGCAAATGCTCAGAATCCTTCAGTCTCTGCTTCTAACGAAATCATGATCATAATGCTCACAGTTAGAAGTCTATCTGAATCCATTTAAAATGTAAAATAAATTATATATCTAGACTATCTGCAGAGATTTATGATCATCCATTCTCTGTTGCTATTACATATACAGATATCCACACAGAAGGATCAGTGTGAAAAGTCTTGTATTTTTACAGGCATTTAAAAGTATGAACAAACTTCACTGTTATAAATTTAAATGGTCTTTCTGAAAACTGTATATCAACATTATTTGCCCATTTTTCTACCAGGTTGTCAAACTTTTCTCACTGAGTTTAAATGTTGTTTTTATTCTGAAAATCAAAACCCTAAACTCCCTAATATCGAAAATGACTTCAGGACTGATGTGACACCATAAGAGAATACTCCACAACCAATGACACAAGCCAGTTTGTAGCCAGCAGGGGAACATACTGGAAATACCGTAGATAACTACTTCCGTTCAGACTTCAGGTGTCTGCCCAAGATACCTCACTATGCAAATGCAAATATTCCAAAAAACATACTCTGTTAGGAACACTTCTCCCTAGAATTCCTCCCAGGCCTATTCCCTGTTACCCGGGAACCGAGGCCTGCATTGCCGATGTATTTTGCAAATATTTTGACTTTCCATTTTATTCATGAATTAGTTACTGTTTGATAAGCCACGTTTAACCACGAAGCTTGCCAGAATTCCTCTTCAGAACTCAAGAAAAATATACCTGCATGTTCAGACTGTTAGCATAAAAGTATAGATCTCTCAATATCAAAATAGAACAGAACTATAAAAAAATACAGCTTGATTTTAAATATCAGAGGACATTATAATGAGGATATCCAAACCCAACAACAATGGACACAGATAAAATGTCATTTTAAAAACACTGTCAGATTAAAATATCCTTGTGAGGAGCTATTCTCCCTAGATGAGTATAATGGAGGCAAACACTGGGGAAATGTTTATTTCTGCTGGAATTCAGACAGAAAAAAATGATAAAGTATAGTATGGGTTTTTTATACCAATGCTGAAAGTAATCATGCTTATCATATGTAAATCTGTGTCCCATTGCTTTCCTTATATAGTAAATTAGTAAAATGTAACATGTTTCAATATATACCTCATACACTAAACTTCACCCAAAATGGTAGCCCACTTACAAAAATTTTCCATTATAACTCATTTCTTTTTTTTTTTGGTTTTTCGAGACAGGGTTTCTCTGTGTAGCTTTGCGCCTTTCCTGGAACTCACTTTGTAGACCAGGCTGGCCTCGAACTCACAGAGATCCCCTGGCTCTGCCTCCCGAGTGCTGGGATTAAAGGCGTGCGCCACCACCGCCCGACTTCATTTCTAATGTCTGTGTCTAAAGTTGAAATCCTATGTTAAAGAAGCAGGAAATTAAATAAAATGTCCTTTAAATCCTAACCACTAAATAGAAGCCTTTCTAGCTCCAAAAAAAACTATGGTATGTTTCTTTTTTCAATATAAGATGTTTCTAATTATGACAGACAACCTATAATGTTTGAAGTATTTAATGATAAAATTCAAGTGTTAGGGAAAAGGTAAAAATTTAAATTTCCACACTAAGAAAGAGCTGACTGTCATTGTTTAAAGCATAGTGAACCTAATACAACTGTCAATCACTAAATATAATATTAATCGTACTTTAGTTTCAATTTTGGGAATTGGAGTTTTAACCTTCACTACGTGGACTTATTTTTAAATGTAGTCTAGGAATATGTTCTCATAAACAGGCTAATTTCACTCTATATAAGTCGGAAGCTAATTTGATTTTATGTAAGTCTGATGTGTTCTTCCATACTGTGTAATTCGAAACTATAAAAGAAGCTCTTTGGAAAAAAAATGACTTCTCAGCCAAACAATCTTCTATTATAAGCTTCTTTAGTAAGCATACTGGGCTACCTACACTCAGAAGCTCCATCATACTGGGCTACCTACATTAAGAAGCTTCAAAATCATCATTGTCAAGATATATACATCATTGTGTCAAGATATAACAAGGAGTAGAGGGCCACACTATACTTGCCTTTCATTCCTTAGTGAGACATTAACAAGAACACTGAATGCAAGTTTATACACAGGTAAACAGATACAGATTAAAAGCATGCATGCACATACACACACCCCAAAAACTGAAAATTTAAAAATATTTTTGAAAAACTAAAGTAAGTCATCAATTTGACAGAAAGTACCCTGGAAAACTGCTCTTATACTCTACATGATTATCCTACACATCCTTGCAAATGCAGAAAACACATCACAAGCCCCTTGTATTATTTCCTGTCCGGGAAGCTTAACAAATCTGCTTGTGGGTTAATAGAATCAGGTCATACTAGTGATAAAGTTTTAATTTGTAGAAAGCTTATATCATCAAAATATTCTGATAATTATACTTCCAGTTCTGGTTACTACATTATTTCCACAACTTTTCAACTAAAATTTAATAAGGTTATTTTTGAAAACCAAATTCTCTTTTATGAAAAGTAAAATCTATCCTCTCAATTTTTGACAATTAAAAATTACCTTCATATATTCCACCATGCATATAAAAACTTACTTGTTAAAAATTTTTAAATTATTTCCTATTTCTTGAAGGAATCAGTCACCAGAGATGGCAAACTCTCATGTGTGGCAAAGGCAGATGCTTGGGTGAAATTTGAGTTATGGATATATAATAAAATATTCAATTCATTCAAAATGTCCAAAGGATGTTGAATAAGTAAATTATATTAGTGAAATGTCTGTTTTTAGGTACAAAGTTCTTCATGATCTCTTTTTATATGCCTACTGCCTTGTTAATGCATGTTTCTTATTAAGTAAATGGGTTTTGTTTTACTTTTAATCGCCAACCACCAATAAATGTCAAATAAAATATAATAAGCAGCAGATATTTTAGTGTGTTCTACCCTTTCTGGGTGAGAAGGTTGTGCTAGGGACCTAACCTAGGTCTTTGTGTATGCTCAACAATCACTTGGCTTGACTTCTACTCCTGGCTGTATGTAGTTCTCTGACTCCATTATTATTATTATTATTATTATTTTACTTAAAACAATTTTCATATTTAAAATATTTAAATTAAACATTTAAATATATTTTATCACGTTCTTTCCCTTCCCCCAATTCCTTCCTCTCCCCTTCTCTATTTACCCAAATTTAAGTTCTTTCTCAAAAGTCAAGCAAAAACTCAACTTCTAAAGAAA